TTTCCATTTCTGCTTCACCTTTAGGTACATTAAAAATAATATTTTATTAATATTTTATACAAGTGTATATTTTATTTAAATATAATCACCTATAAGAGTATGTGCGTCTCCATTGTGATATAAATGAAACCATAGAGAATGGCGCCTATATTGCCTTTTTAGCCAAAAATTGAAGGCTTCATTATAATGTGGAGTTCCGGAGTTTTTAAATACCTAATAAATAGAAAGTAGTATATGTAATTGTATACATAACATATATATAAAAAAAATATATATTATATTAAAAAAATATTTTAATTAAATATTTACTTTTGTTTGCATAGCTCCTGCTTGATCCGGAACTAAATAGATGCGTACAAATGTATCTAAAGATTCAACATTAAGGGGACATATAAGTCCTTTTGCTTCCAGGACTTGTACTGTGAGATCCATACCGTCTTCGGTAGGAGAATTTCTAAGGATATAATGAAAATGAAAAAAACAAAATTATGCTATTTTTTAATGCATTACAAATTTTCGTTAAAAGGAACTATATGAACTAAAAACGAATAAAGACTGCTACATAGCAGTAAAATGCAAATTCACGTGAGTGTTTGCATGTGAATATAAAAGCATTGCAAAGGTTGTTGCCTTTTAACAAAGTTGGGTTTAGCACATGATGGATGAGTAGAATGCGTTTCATAAATTCCACATACAATTTTAAAATGTTATATTTTAATAGAGTAAATATTATATAAAATTTTCTTACTTATCATACTGCAATCCGATACATAAATAGCCCGTAATTTGGGTGTATGGCTGGTCCAAGTCGGGAAGAAACAAAGATGAATCCGAATTTACAGAATCGCAAGAAATTGCATGTTCCAAATTGATACCATCAATAGATCCGAGCGCAATTGAGTCAAGTGAACATTGTGAATTATTGCGTTGACCCAAATTGCTTGCTGAGTTCTGTCTCATTAACCCACGTCCAAAGCTCCATGTTCCACCAGATGTTGCGCCGCCATTAAGTACATGATTTACACCCAATTTTCGGAAAAGAAAATCTTCGGAGATGGTCTTTTGCAACATGTGTGGTCCTTTTACTTTTTGTGAAAGTCCTGTGAATGGATTTGTAGTGTTGCTCGGTTTCCGTAGTCCTGCAGTCGCTAATTTACTTGAAAGTGTCTTTACATCCGTCGTTTCAGGTGAAGCTTCCGATTCGGAAAAAGACCGGTTACGAAACTGTTGGGGATTTTTAAATATTTTTTTAGCGGTAACTAAAGGATTTACCGAATTTTTGAAATTAAACATTTTTTGTTGCTGCGAATTCATTTCTGGTCGCAAATTATCAACAGTGGTAGATTGTATTTTGCTTGCGTTATTGATATCAGCTGCTACTGGGGCTATTACATCAAGTTGGCTAAAGACACAGTTCGAGTTGTCGTGAAAAGGATTATTGCTGCCGTTCGTAGACAGATTATCATTTTTTGTGTTAACGCAATTCACAGCATTAACATTTGCATCTTTAGAGTTCCCATTGCTTTTGTTATTGTTGTTATTAGAGTAATAGTTTTTGTGCATTTGTAAGGCAGTGCTTGGTTCATATTTTTCGGGTAAGCTCTCGAGAGATTCACAAAGAAAGGGATTTGTGCTTGAGTTATGACGTTTTAATGTTCTAGATTGTTGTTGCTGTTCTTCGTTACTTGAAACTGAATTTTCCTTGTGGTGTGGTTTAGTCATATTTTCATCATTTAAACAAATAGTATTTTGTAATGATATTTGTCTTTTAGTTATTGGCCTTGGAATAGCGGTAGCACATAGCATAGAAGAGGAAGAGGATAGTCTTGGGGGAGGAGGTGCATCAATTGGCTGTAGAATTTTCGAACTAGAATTTTTATTAACACTACTACGCATACATGAAACCAAAGTGTTGCTACGTCTCAGATTATTTTCCAATGGTGAAGTGATTTCATTGACTTCATGCAACGAAAAGGTAACTGTTTTGGTACTACCTGGTGCTGGTGCAGGACGCAAAGGTTGTGGTGGTATGTTGCAATCAGTTTGAGGCAAATTCCATAGTGGTGTTGTTTGTAATGGTGGACCGCTGTAGTTATGATCATCTTTGTCAACTGTGTCAAAACGCTTAAAACTGCCACTCGTACTAAGTAAGAAATCTGACCCCGAATGAATCTGAAAAAAGTGAAAATATATCATATTGTGTTTGAAAATTTTAGTGAATTTGAAATTGCATACCATATAACCATTTGCATGAAAAAGTTTATTTTTTGACAAACCAATTTTTTCTTCTTTATTGGAACGCATCCATGAATTTGTGCGGGGACCCAAACAGTGGCATATGAACATTACAACCATCGCCATCAGTAGCACGCATAGAGCCAAACTTGTAAATGTTATTGGTGAATTATCCATTGTGTTTGTGACCTTATGTGCAATTATTTTAAAAGTGTAAGCGGGTCTTTTTGTTGTATTTTATGTGTGACTTTATTTATTTTATTTTTCATTAAAGCTAGGTTTTTTTTATGCGTAGTGTTAGTTAACATTTTCCTAAAAAAATAGAAATTTTATGCATTTCTAACATTATAAAAATATGTTAGGATTGGTTTACATAAAAATTTTGAAGTTCTTAGTCTCACTTTTACCAAAAAGTGTGGTATTAATAATATTGTATATAATTTTTAATTAATATAATTAATAATAATTTTATTAATAATTTTTATTTGATTGTGCTGACTGTAACTTTTTTAAAATTTTAATAATTGTTACTTATGTTAATAATTCAAGTTAAGGAAAAATTAAAATAATTTTCTTTTTATTAAAAGTAAAATTTCAATACGACAAAAACTCAGTTTTAGAATGTAAAATAAATAATTATCTTATTTTTTTACATTTCTACGAAAATCTATACAAAATGTATTTTTCATGATTTTTATCTATTTGATATTTTTATTTGTTAAGAAGCATTTCCTCTTGGCAAACGCTTTCATCTTGTATCTTTTTACATACAATTCGCATATCTCAATACGTAAATCTGGATGACTATCTCTAGAAACTTTTTGAATGAACGTTTAAATTGTGTGTGGGAATGAGTGTGATAGTGATGAGTTGCGTTGACAGTTTCTTGATTGAATTTGTTATTTGATACAACCCATTTTTACTTCAAAGACAGTAAACCAGAAAAATAATTTAATATTTAGAAATTATTTTAAACTTCATACGAACAGAAATTATTGCTGCCACCTTTTATTAAAGACTAATCGATCGATAAACACTAATAGATTTTGTATATAAAGTAAAGAAAAACTTGTTGAATTTGAATTTCTGATAATAAATACGAAATATGAATTGATTAATGTAAAAAAAGTGAACTTTCCTTAAACACATTATTATTTGCAATTTATTATTAACTAGCTAAACACCGCGAGGATTTGGTATGGCTCAGTCTGATATTAATTTTTCGGAAAGTTTTGTAAATAACGGTATTCTAATGAAAGTAGGTCATCCGAGTAAATAAATTATTTGAACCTGTTAATTAAATATTTTTATCTCGTTTGATTAAAGCTCGAAAAGTCTTATTCTTATTATTATGGTCTCAATGTTCTTAATTACCATATGTTTCTCAATGTTTAGACCATATGTTGTTTTGTCAAACTTAAATCGAAGCTTTACAAGTGGTTTGTTTAAAACGTTTACCTTTAAACAAAAGATCCTGGATAAAAACCAATAATAAGTTGTTTTGAAATGCATTCATATTTTAGTATTCCGATAAACTTGCATAGTCTGTATCTAGAAAATATATTATCTGTGTCTAAAATATTGGAAGACTAGTTCCAGTACATATAGACTGTAAACATCGAGTCGTAGATCAAGTCGTTTTGCTGAATGAATCAATATAAACTACTGCCTATAAACGACTCGGTAATTTCAAAATACTATATTTATGTGATTTAAAAATATGGAGTTAGTTTTGTATAACTAATCTCGTTTTTGCCCAAACATCATGTTAATTTATAAAATTTGGCAACTCCGAAAAATAATATATAATTTAATGAATACAATTAAGAAAAAGCGGACTTTTCTCGACATTTCGTCACAAGCAAAACAAGGTGGGAAGGCCGTGAAAATGGTTTCATCTTATAATTATCAGTTTAAATGATCATTGAGCTTTATATATTCAGTTTTTGAATTTTGTTTGGTATGTGGAAAATAATATGTATGAATAATTATAATTAAATGAAAACAAGCCACATAAAATGAGGCATTAGTTACACTCCGTGCGATGAGAAGAATTGGTAATTCTGTATTTTTGAACATTAAAATTAAGGAAAGGGCAATCTGTGGTCCATATAATTATGTTTAGTATCAGAAAGCATTTGTACGACGTATGTGATGCTAGTTGCACTTATGATAATTTCTATTAACCGGGCAATGTGCAAATGGTTATAAAATATATCATTGTGAAGTATAATTTAAACTTTTCTACCAGAATTAAAACGATTTGTGCATTGGAAAGCTCAAAATGCTAAAGCCGCAATTTCAGCACATGCCATAATGCATATGCCACTGGTGCACTAATAATAAATAGTTTGCACCTTTTTGCCTTCACTTCGTTAGTCGATAGAAGAGTGAATTTGCTGCATAAAAAAAAAATTAGTTGCATGAACATACTAAATTCTGTTATATATCAGGACTTACAAGCTTTTATGTGTTTTTATACTTTTCGCAAAGTTTTCATTAACCTAGTCACAGGTCATTCCACTTCCAGTGGCATAATAGGCAATAGCATCCATGTAACGAGGGGACACACAACCAGATGCCATTGTGCATCGATGGCTTTAGTGGCACAATTAGTTGCTTGTTTGTAGTCTGTAGTTTTGTATCTTTAAATGCGAATTTTGTACTATTAAAGCCGAAAAGTAAAACTTGTTTCTTTTTCTATAACACTGAAGTAAATGCTTTGCATAAATACAATTGCAGATCTAGTGCAGTACACACATAAGAGTAATAACATACATTAAGACCGAAAAGTTTTCGGAAATTCTCATTTAAAATTCGCGCGCTGTATATTTTTCGATATTTT